CGCTGGGGGTGGACTGGTTGGCGGCGCTCGGCCTGGCCGCAGGGAAAACGCGGGCCGGGGGGGAGCGGCAGGTCCGTCCCGGTTTGGGGATCTTGGCCCTGTTGTCGTGGCGTAGTTGAACTTTCAGGGGCTGCTGTGTGAGGTTGGAGGCAATGTTTTCACTTTGGAGAAGCATTTCTGGTATTGGGGGGTGTAGTCTGGGATACAGGGTTTCACTTTTCTCCATTATGTGCCCTTAGGAAGCACCCATGGTGGTCTGCAGCTACCTCTTGACTTACAGTGTAGTCCCGTGTCTTCCAGAGGACCCGTCACCTTGGAAAATCCAAATAACACAAATAAAATCCCATCAAGCACCATCCGGCTCAAAGCTACCCCTAAGTAATACATTTTTCTTCATTTTTCCTTTTTTTTTTGTTCTGTGAGGAAAAGGGTCACAGACTTGTCCCTTAAGGACTAGTAATAGCAATCGTGCTCCCAGAACTCAAGAGGTACAAGTCTAGCCTTGCCCTCGTTGAGCTCATCCCAGACTTCAATTTTTCTTTTCTTTTGGGCATACCTCCAAAAGCACTTTTGTGAGGAAAAAGTCTTTGGCTTTAATCAAGCAGATTGGGGTAGACAATATTTGTAGATGAGATCAAGGCAGACGTTTATAGAAATCTCATCTTCAGTGTTTCTTGTAGAAAAATTCTGTATCTGGAAACAACGTAGGAAAGTGGTAGGACGTTTATAGAAATCTCATCTTCAGTGTTTCTTCTCTATCTGGAAACAATGTAGGAATGTGTATGTATATGATTTGCCACTTTGTTGTTGCAAAACTTTACAGGCGATGCTAACAAGTACTTATAAAGGCCTGCATCTGTGCTCATCCTGACAAAACAAAGCATAAGACTTTAAAAAGGAGAGACACTATCTCCCTCAATATCCTTTAATTCTTCCTGCAGTATTAAAATTAGAAGGGCAAAATTCATAAAGTTGATTCTTAATGTATTAGAAAATAAGGGCAGATCTTTTTCTTCACAGGTGCTGTTATGATGAGTGAGAATATCTAGGAATTAAGGTAATACACAGGTTTTGTTTGTTATTAAAAAAGTTCCTGTACTTTCTGTCTGTCATTACAGTAAACAGCACACTCGCTGAAAATGAAAGCCAACAGATTCGTAAGGTGTAGTCTGTTGTACTAATGTGACAGGAAAGATGTGAACACAAAATTTAAGGATATGGGTGCCCAAGGCACTCTACAGTGAAGGATGAATTACACTGATCATTGTAATTTGTGTGCCAGGATAATAGCTTCATTTCTATCCACAGTGGAATGAGTTCTGCTGGCAATATAGCTACTGCTATTTCTGCACAAGTAACAGGATATAGTACTGCCTTTTGATAATGAATTTGCAGGGGTCCAGAATTCTGCCTACTATTAGATTCAAAATAATTCAGCATTGGAAAAGTGATACTTTTGAAATTTACTGGTTTGGGTGATTCCCTCCCCGAAGGTGGTGCTTGTATTTAGTGATTTTCATAGACAGTTGTGTGAAAGTTCCTCCCAAAAAAGGATCATTAATGAGTTTGAAAATAAATGGCCAACTGAGAAGAATAGGGGATGGTATTTTTCTTCTAAAGCTTCAATTCACTGATTCACTCAGACTCTGATGGATCAAACCTAAGTGTCATCTCACCACTGCTTATTGCAACAGTGTGTAGTGGCAGATGTATAGAAAAATGGTCAGGAGAAAGTGATAATTTTGCTTAGTATACCTCAGTATCTTAGTGTTCAGGGAATTAAAATGTAAGGACTTACTGAATCTGAATGTCTGTCCCAAATGTCATTTATTAGTCCTGGGGGTTTGTCTAGTCATTCTTTTAACCTGTTGATGCATTTAGGTTATACTCCACAATAACAGGGCAGTGTTGAAAGAGCCTCCGCCCTTGCCTGTGGCTGATGCCCTTTGTTTCCACTTTCAGGGTAATAGACTCCTCAGGATGCTTTTCCCCGTGCTCTGTTTGCACCTGTGGCCTCTAATCTTTTTTATCAGTAATGTTATAGAATGAAAATCCAGATTTACCAGGATGTGTTAATAAAAATGCAGAGAGGCGGCATAGCAAGTGCAGTGCACAGACACAGGAACTTGTTGCATTGTAAAAAAAAAAAAGTGCTGCGTGGACAGAAATCAACTGTGCATGTTGTAATTGGGTCATTTGGGAATGTCACAGTCCTGCTATGCACACACAACAGTACTGACGCTAAATGACAGGGAGCTGCTCTCCTTGCTGATCTCATATTCCTCCCTCACCTGTAGGCTTGCCACTTAAATTATTTTTCCATCATTTTAGATTTCTCTTTGTCCCTCAACGATTTTTTCTTTGTGTTTCCTCTTAGCTTTCTTCTTTTTACAGCTTATAGGTGAACTGCCAAAACTTGCCTATTACTCTCACTTAGACTGGATTTCTTCTCTTGGTCAGAAAAATTCCTTTTGCCTTTTTTTTTCCTTATCTGTCTACTTTCTTTGCAAACACACATTCCCACCCACCCCCCTCCCCGCAATGTAGGAAAAATAAGATGGTGTGAATCTGCACAGGTTTCCTTTCTTCTGTGCTTGAGGTTCTATATAACCAAACGCTTCTCTGATTCTACACGTTTTCTGAGATGTTTCTTATTATGCCTGCAAATGAAGTGTTTGAGAGGTTTTTGTGGGCTTGATTGACCATACAGTTAACAGTTTTCTGTCAGTAAGGTAGCATTTTACTGGCCAGCTAGGAGAAAAAATGCATAAATAGAAGGAAATCCGTTTTCAGAAGATAAACCAGTTTAGTTCTGGTTTTTTGATGAAGTGTTATTTTACTTGTTTGGACTTTTATACATTATGCCTGCTAGTGGCGAAACACAATAGTTGAGTTGACTACAGTGGAGCTGCAGCAGTTGAAGACGCAGCGCTGTGTTGCCAAATCTAAGTGCAAACCAGGAAAATACAACAGCATTACCAAATAAATTCTTTAGTTTCCCTTGTCTTTTCAGTTACTCATTTCAAGTTGCATTTGTGTCACGGTGCAGCTGGATACTCTTCTGTGTTCAGCCCTGCCTTTTCAGCCAATGTTTCTGTGTGCTGTTGCGCAGGGAGGCACTGGAAAGGCAAACAAAATAGGCTCTCAAACTCCACAAAGCAGCCACCAAATTCCCAGTGGAATCAATGACACATTTTTTGAGTCATGAGGAATCTTTACCAAGTGGCAATATGCCTAGTCTGGGCAAGTATTAAACACATTTCAGAACAAGGTTTTGGAGTAAATCACTGTGAACATTGCACACTATTATGTGATTTAGAAGGGTGGTCATAAGTTCAAGTTTCAAGTTGAAGCCTCTTCAGGCCCTGCATCTTGAACAGCTCTTGTTGGTGCAAGCCCAAGGTAAAGGCAGAGCAGTTCTGAGGTGATCTCTGAACACTGGGGCATTCCCCACACAGTGTGCAACCCTAGAATTGGCTGGGTTTGTCATCCTTAGAAAAGACGATTCCTAGGCTTGGCTATCGATAGATGGGCACTGAGAGGCACTAATGCCCACTTTGTACAGATGACTTAATTCTCATGTAACGACTCTTGTTTCAACACTTAAATTTATCTGCCTTTCAGGTGCTGCTAGCCCATTTCTTGGCAACCAGAATGTTTTAGCTTCTTCCATTCTCAACAAAGTGATGGAAAACTCAGCTGCTTCTAGTACTGGTAGCAGCCCACCCAATAGTGTCTCCTGTTCTAAATATAAAATACATACTGATCCTGAGAAAAAAAACATGAGCGGTGCTGGCAAAGAACATGTGGAAAACATTCTGGAAGAATATTCACAGAAAGGTAGAGATGTGCAGAAGAGGCTGAAGGAAGTGAGTTGTAAATTTGGGGCAGTTTCTTTAAGTATAGATGAGCTTTTGTTGTTTTCATCATTGGTGAGTCTTTGGACAGTTTTGCCAGCACTATTTTGAGCAGCCTCTTGTCTGCTGTAAATTGTACTTGGCTGTCATGATTCCCACTTGTCGTTTGACAGACAGAAATAGGCAATGGGTGATAATGTCCTTGGCATGATCCATGTAATGTTATTTCATGCATAGTCAGTCCACCACAGCACAGTGTGACTGGCTGGTTAACGAAAGAATATTTAAAAAAAAGAAAAAAACTAAAAGAAACAAAAATAACCTCTTAATTCTCATACCCATGCTGCTCTCTGCCTCTTTTTTTTTTAAGGTTATATATTCAGTATTTTTGTTGGTTTAGCATGGTGGTTTGGGTTTTTTTTCTCCTTTAGACCACTGAGCTACGTGAACAACAGAAAATCAATTTAAGACTCATCATTGCTGATTTGCAGACTAAACTGATGGAAGTGCAATCGGAAAGAGATGTGCTTCAGGATACCAGGTATGAAGGGCAAGCCAGATGTATTATGGAGAGAATATATGTGGGCTGCAAGAGGCATACGAGATCTCCTGAGTGAGAAACTTGCCCTCAGGAATGCAGACAATGAGACTATGGCAGCTTGGTTTAGAAAATTGCTTATTATGTAGTTGTAAAGAACAGCAGTTAATCAACTTAAGTATTACAGCTATTAGGATAAAAATCCCTGTTGTGAATATTGTTTTTTTAAATTATTTCTTCGGTTTCCAAACTCAGACAAAAGGAATCCCAGAGCCGAGAGAATGTAAAAATACAACTAAAAAATACTATTCAGGAGCTGGAAGCTGCCAACCAGCTGCAGGAGGAGATGCTAAGGGAGGCTGACAGCCAAACCGAGCATCTGAGAAAGATGGTACACAGCCACGAGGAAGTACTTCTGGAACTACATGGCATCCTAATGGACTACGAAGACAGCACAGGCAAGAAACTCTATGAGTATGAGAATATTACCAGCCTACACATCCACAACCTGAGCACAGCATTTGCTGATGTCCTGCGACATTTAGACTCGGAGGTGTCATACCTCAAAGAAAAGGTTGTCCTGGTATGTGAAGAAAGCACTACTTTTCCTTCCAGCATTCTGTGTTCTGTTTTTTAGAAAATATTTTTGAAACCTCCATGAGCTCCTTTCTAAAACGGCCTAAGGAAGTGGTTATGGCATAAAGAGGTACAAATGCTGCTTTGCAGTTAAGATGGAAGGTGCTGGTATGCCAGCCTTTTACACTGTCCCCAACTTGAGATGGGGTTTATTGCTGCAATTTAATGTGTGTTGTGCATGTTTTCACAATTCAAAGTAAAAAGAAAAAGAAAGAAATTACACTTTGAAAACTACTGTTTAGACTGTCTTTTCTTCAGGCATTAGCATTGTCATCTGTTTACAATAGGTGGAAGAAGAACTTGAGTCACTGAAAAAAGTTTCACAGACCCAAAACCAACTTCTGCTTCAGCAACATCAAAATAGGTACCTGTTCTCTGTTTATTTATTCATAAAACATAAATAGACGTTTTTCCATGTTTCACAGATAATTCATTTCTGATGATGACAGTGTTGGAGGGGGGGAGTGTCTGGGGAGCAGCAAGCGATGCTTTTGAGGACTTACTAATTGTTCCATTCCAGATGTTCAATTTACTCTTGACTTTCTGCTGCTTTTTCCTTCCATGCTGGCAATTTCCTGTTTTATTCACTGTCTCAAAAAGTACTATTTTGACAGAATCTGTACACCTTACTTTTGTAAGTGTGATTGGTCGCTTAGAATTTGTTGGGAGACTAGTTCCACCGTTAAAAGACTGAAAGTAATCACTTTGGCATTTTCTTAGTAATTTCACTAAGAGCTTTGTCCTTCCTTGTTCAAGAAGTCCTAATTTCCCTAGCTATCCACCTGAATTATACGGTAACCTGTTCAAAATAAAAGGGTCAATAACCCGATACGTACTGTTTCGTTCACAATAGAAGATCAAAATTATTACATTTCTGATGATGAAAAATACCATTACCTGTTCAGTGGAGAAGTTATTATTTGCCAAGACTCAAATAATAACCAGTATTTTCTTCTTGAAACAGGATTGAGCAGCTAATAAGTGAGCATGAACAGGAGGTGGCAGCACTACCTGATAAAGCTAACAGTGCATGCAGCTATGCAAATAGTACCCAAAGCCAGATGGAGATGATTCAGTATGTTTTTTTGATTATAGTGTAGAAAATGTTAAGAGTAACCTTAATTTGAGAGAACGCTTATGCTGCTAGTACTCTCTACTCTGTGCCCTACGCTCTTGGTTTCTTAGTGTCTTTGTTTAAAGAGTTAAGCAGTCCTTGCATAAGTTATGGCATGAAATAAAAAAGGGAAGAAACAAAAAAACATTAAACCATGCTATATAGGGGAGAGGCAAAATAGCCATGCATTAGGCAGACTCTGGGAACCGGGAGACTCGGGCTGGTTCTCTTCTCAGACTGCTCCGGCTCTGAACAAGAATAAGGCCAGCAAAGTCAGTGGAAGTTCAGACTGGCTCAAAACGTCAGCTCTGTTCTTGCCACCAGCTTCTGGAATGATGAACCTCTGCTATCTGAGTTGTGAAGAGTTTCTGCGGAGCACATGGCTAGAGTTAAGGGATGAAGGAGTACGGAAGCTAAGAGCCGTGGCTGAGTGCAGTTTTAGGTGGCTGCGTTGCACCATGACCTTTGCCTTCTAAATGTTCTGGGGATTCAGATACAAAATTCATTTCCGGCAGCGTTGTCGGTTTAATCACAAACAAGAAAGGGTAAACAGTTGGGTTGTTTGCATACATGTAGAAATAGTAATGAACAATAATTTTAAAGAAGGGGTAATTTTCATTTGGGATAAATAGCTATGTTGGTACTGTTGACTTTGGTAACAATTGAGTGAGAATAAAAAGACTAATTCTTACCGGCCATTTGATGACTCAGAAGTCAGTGCTCAATGTATCAGTTAAAAAAATGAGGACATTCCATGCAGCGTTACAAACTTAAGATGAGATTTAAATATCAGTATGCATTATTTTCTGACTTGTATAGCTGAGATTGAATAGCTGATAGCAAAATGCTTCTCAGTTCTGCTTGTAGAATAGTCAGGGTGCATTTGAAAGCAGACTTAGCTTTCTTAGAACTTGCTTGAGAATAAATGAGTTATCAGAAATAAAAAGCATCAAGATTTCAATGTATGTAATTTTATGTGAGATAAATATCCAAGAGCAAATCTAGCCAGTAAGAAGGTGATCCCACTGTGAATGATAATCACACTTCAGTAAGTTTCAGCAGTCACACCGATTGCAGAGAAAACAATGACAAATGTTTCGTGCTTTCATGGTTCTTACAGTTCCTAATTTCTTCACCTAAAACTTTTCTCAGAGAACAAACAAGAAATCAGAATTCAGTGCATCCACATCAAGTTAGTCACCTGGAATCTACAGTTTCTCAGCTGCGTTCTGAATTACGAGACGCAAAGAAGACGTACGAAGACAAGGTGTGTTAGAGTTGGATTTGTGTGTTAGCAGCAGTGCCAATGAAACTGGGTATGTGGGTGTCTGAAATGTTCTGGATATGTAAGGGAAGTCTTTTGATAAGGGATTGCTTCAGAAAAACTGTGCGGACAGTAAGATAAATTACATTATCCTTAACTCTATTTGTATTAACACAAAATAGCTTTGCAAAACTTGGTGGACACAGAATAGTTTGCCGAATTTATTGAGAGCATAGCATAAATGATGTCTCTTGGAAATACGTAAGATGATTTTGCACTACAAACATCACTTGCACTTGCAGGACAAGAACTTTGTTCCACTATACCACTAGAGAATCTATCAGAAAAAAACTGGCAGTAAAAATAGCTTCTTATTTAAGTCGTAATGCCCAGAAAAATTATTTGGTAACTTTGTCTTGGTAAGTGCAAGGATGGGAGAATATAGAGATTCCAGCAGCGTTTGAGAAGCATTCAGGTGCCTGGAGACACCCCGTTGTGAATTAAGAGTCTTTAACAGTCATTGAAATCCAAAGGCTTCTTATCGGCAGGGTATAATATAGGCAAAAAAGGCAGGCTGGCCAGCACCTGTTATTCAAACCATTTCTTAATCCCACTAGAAAACATTAGTCTTGAGAAACTATTTTTAACCATGTTTCTCCCTGAAGACCAACTTTTTTCCAGGTAGTACAGCAGGGAATTACTGCAGACAAATGGAGAGAACTTCTTGCAGTCCCACCACACAGTCTCTGCCATGTCACTAACTGCAGCATTTTATATCCCATTTCCATATCACTTCTGCTGCGTCTTTCACTTATTTCACTGCTTTGGATTCCAGTTTTATAAACAGTTTGAATATCTTCAAAGTCTTTCTTATTTTTGTGAAAGATAATTCATGTTTTCCTTAGAAAATGACCTGAAAACACTTGCTTTCCACTCCCTTTAAAAATTAGTGGAGCTGACCCATGCAGAAATGATGGATCCAAATTCAGCTTAGGTTACAAGTCATGAGGATTTAGGCATCCTTCTCCTACATACTACTGGAAAGGGAAAGTTCAGGTCACAGGAGTGCCATGAAGTTTGGCAGAGCTGATAGTCTCTGATCCAAAAAGGTCTGAGAATGGAATGGCAGGGATGTGCAGGTCAAGCCTGCGGAGGGGTGGTGTTACGTGTACTTGTGCTATAAAGCAGAGCAGGAAGGATATTGTGGTTAACAATTTCTGTAGGTTTCCACCTTTATTGATTCCCTTGGTTCACATGTATTAAAACTCACACTAGTCAGTTCCAAAGGTGACTTTCACAGCATAACAACTGAACTATGGGGAATTTGTAAATTAATCTCTATTACTGTATTTCATTCTCGAGGAACAGTACAGTATATGGTATGCTTTCCATATTAGGTCTTTTTACCTCAATTCTTTTGATTTAAATCATGCAGTGCACAGCATAAGGTTGTATCACGTATATAGCTATAACTGTAGTGTATATTCCTTAGGCAATGCTCCCTTTCATAATGTTTACCTTATAACAGATGTAAAATTGGAAATTGGGAATCAAGTTAAGGCTATTTTTCACAGTCTACCAACTCCAGAAAGTGTTGGGTTTATATCTATAAAAGAATATACTACTTGGTCCAATAAAAATTGCTTTTGAATAGGAAGTGTAATATGCTGAATTGCTAAGGTAGATTTTAGTGAGAGACAAGTTGATAGCTGGAGATCATTTGATCTCAGGCTGTTATGTGGAGTCATTCCTGTGAAGGTGTGAGGGAGTATCTAAATAAAGCTCTTACGACTGTATGCCCCTCTTTTACAGCAAGCATTTCTCCACAGCTTCTCTGGTAGGAAAACACCTTAGCAACTAAAATCTCCAAGGGAGTGGGTGAAAACTAAAGCCAGTGTAAGTTGTTGATACCAGATAGTTTCAGCAATCAGAAAATCTGGTACTTACCCACTTATTGGATATAAATGTAAATATGTTCTATTTGGATATGCCTATGTTAATACCTTTATTAAAAAGTGTTGTAGACTGGTCTGTCATCTCATACACTGCCAGAAGTCACATCCTTTCAGAGAAAGTGACTACCACTTGGAGCAAAACATGTTTGCATGTAGATTTCTTAATGTGTTCACAGTGAATAAATATACCTCCCTGCCTTAGCTACACAAGACATGCTGTTACGCCTAGGTGCTTCTGAAGAACTTCACTGTATCATTAAACACAAAATGAATATGGCTGAATATATGCTTGGGACCAAATTCTCCCTAAATTAACTTAATTGTGCAGGAAAGGCCCCGTGTGAGGACGGCTCTTTCTGTCACTGTCTGTGAAAGCCTATTGAGAATGTTGTGCATGGTCATGGAGCTCTGTAGAGGGTGTCCTTCAGGCTTAACTTTTCTATGGAAATATGGAGTAGTTGCATAAGGAGGGTTTCCAGGAGAAGTAATCTAGGATTTACTGAGATTTCTCCTGATGGAGGCATCAGGAGAAATCTCAGTAAATCCTAGATTACTTCACAAAGTCAGAGAAACTTCTTTCAAGAAGGAGCTCAGGCAATTACAGGAAGAAAAAGCCCTGATAATGTCCTGCTGCTGCTTAGCTCTAGGAAGAGAAGATTACTGATTTTATCCAATTTTGGGGAAGGAAAACTTCATAAGATTTTCAGAAGTTTCCTTGACAACATCCTCTCATATCATCCTGATGTTCCCAGCCACCATTTGGTGAAGGACATGAGGTTTTGGGACTAGCCCTGCATAAATGGTCCATTACTAATTGAAAAGTGTTATGTCGTCACTATAATCAGATGCAGGAAAGAGGGGGTGCGGGGCAGAAGAGGAAGGGAGGAGATTATTGCTTTTGTCGCAAGCTGAAGAAACGTTTTTAAGGAAGTAGAAAGGAAATGCCCAGATTTTGGTTTTAGCCAAAAGAGAGATTGCAGATCCTAAAGTGTTCATTAGAAGCACACTGTAGGAGATTTTGTGTATTTTCTCATTGAGTGATTCCATATAAATTGCATTTTACTTACCACTTGCATTATATTTTCTAACTGCAAATCAAGCAAGGAGCTTAAACTTCTTTTCTAAAGTGGCTCCTTTCCCGTTCCATTCAATGTTTACAGTGTAGGTAAGGAATTTTTGAAGAGCTGTGGATCAGGGTGGAAGCCAATTCATTCTCAGGAACCTCAGTTAACTTTGCAGTGAAATTGAGCTTAATGACTAAAAGAGGACATGCAGCTAGGGAATAACTGCTGAGCCAGAAGATGACATTTGGACTTCTTTCGAGTAGAACCCAGAAGAAAACCAGCAGAAATCCCATGTACTATTTAAAATAGAATACATTATGATAATTTTTAATGAATATTTATCTTTATTCTAGGTTAAAGATCTTGAGAAGCAGTTGCACCTAGCTCATTCTGGGATAGCAGAAGCTCCAACAGAACGAGATCAATGCAGCCAAGAATCTGGAAATCTGAATGACCGGATTCATCAATTGTTGGTAAAAACAAGTGATAGTATTGAAGAAAATCCTGCTTTCTATAAGCCCCTTCTTACTGCTGGTGGTCAGATTTGCACATTGCTTGTTTCCAAAGTGCAGTAGCCCTCTTATATTTAAGTTTGAGGATTATTTTTTACTAGAAATTTGAATTAGAGCTGTGAAGAAAGTTTCCCAAAGGCCTTTGCCATTAGCAATGCAGGACATTCAGAATTAAGATTAACTTTGTCATAAATTCAAAATCCTCGAACCCCATGCAAATCATATTAAAGATGCTGAGCCACCTACACTTTAACCTCACAGTTTAGATCCCTCTGTTAAGGAACCTTGTCCCTTAACACATATTTTGCAAGACATACCTGGGATTTTCCTAACAAATAGCTCTAAACGTTCCTTTGTAACTGATTGAGAATACTCAAAAATTGAACACACAGCATAAAAAAAAATTGCCACAAAGGGTTGGTTTCATCACAACTGGCTTCATGTACTGTAATTAGCCTTGCTTTTCTTCTTACATAAGATTATTCCTTAATGACTGGATTTTGGGATATTAGTTTTGTGGTTTCATTAGCTTTGTTTGCCTATTTAAGTGTCACAGTGCTTCTGAAGGAGATGTTGAAATTATTTCATTCCATATGGTGTTCTCCCATTGAAGAATATGTTAGTGTAAATCTTTTCCTACGGATTGTACATAGCTATAGAGAAGACTGGAGTCAGAATAATCACTGCATAATTGAAGGTTAGGAGTGTAATTTTAGGATTCCCTTTGCTTCTGTGTCTTCAGCTCATGTATTGATTCTGCCATTATCTGAGCGTCCTACTTATTTCTCTACTTCAGCTTTAACAATATGCAGATAGTTAATAATAGCAAAAGTTATGATTAGCAGAAGTCCCTATTGATAATTCAGTTTGGGCACATTTTAAATTCATATTTTTGAAATTGGTAGCTCGGAAATTTTATGCCACTATTTTTAATACTAGTTACATTTTAAATTATCATTTGTAATTTCAGTTACGTACTGTTAGGATTATGTCTGAGGTGGAAAAGGTTTAAGCTCTGGAGAACACGTGACAAATTGCTACATGAGATGAAACAAGCAGTGAACAATTCCTATTAGTGGTAATGATGGGTATTTATCAAGATGAGTATTTATTCCTTGGCACGTAATATGGTGCTTCGTTGGTTTTCAGTTGATATTGACACAATATAATCTTATTTCATTTTGTAGCTTATACTGATTTGGGGATAGATATAAATGACATGAAAGGCTTGAGCACTGAAGTGTTACTTGCTTCAGAATAATTCTAGCAGCAGTGTATGAAGTTGAAAGTTACTGCTTTCTTGGATGAAAACATGTAGGAGGTGTCAGACTAGTTTAGCCAATATTCCTGGCTCGTGCTAAGTGTAAATCCCTGCAGCTGTCCCTATTCAGATATGTAACCATGTAATTCACTGTTGCTAAAGTTAAGAGAAAGACTAAAAAAATCCTAAATGTGATTCAAGGAGGGAGATGGCTTTAATTTCTTGCAGATGGAACTTCATAAAAAAGAGGTAGAACTAAGTCTAGAAAAAGAGCAGAACAAGCGATTCTGGGATCGGAACACTGACAACAGCATCACCATTGACCATCTCAGGAGAGAACTAGACAACAAAAACATGCAATTGCAGCACATGGAAAACACAGTAAAGAAAATGAGGACTGAATGTCACAGACAAATGGAGTGCCAGGTTGGTGAGCAACTGCAGTGTGGTAGTGTTCAGGACACAAAGTGCACCAGCTGGGGGCTGTACTTCAGAGAGAAGTACTGTAACTCTGGTTACCATGGTCAGGAGGCCTCTGGAGTTCATGTGCAAAATTTTCCTTCCAAAGATGGAGATACATGACAGTCAGAATTTACTTTTTTTTTTTCTGTTAATTTGACCTGTTCACCCTTCATTTCTCTTTACTGATGAGGGAGTAGAAGCATTGATTTTAATTTCGATTTTTGATATACAAGCCTTAGGAGAAAATTAGTGTTCTGCCGATAGTGTGTTTGATTTTGACTGTAAACTTCCAAACCAACATTTTGTACATTTCCAGAAAGTTCGATGCTGCCAGACTAACAAACAAACTATTGAAGGTAGTCTTTTCGGTAGTGAGCACTTCTGTAAGGATAATGAGTAAATTAAAGGCCTTCATAGTGCCTTTCTTTATGTAGTGCTTAATGAAAACATAATGAAGTTTGTGTTTGTAACCCTAAGCTGAATGCAGTGCTATGTCAGAAGAACTACTTTGGACAAAGTAGATTCCTAGACACTGACTTGTAGTACATTCCCCTTTCTTCAAGACTTCAGCCCCTCGAAAATGAGCTGTAATTAGGTAACCCACTTGGCATTATGAGTAAAGATCAAGTTAATTCCTTTATTTTCTACCAACCACAGGCTTGTGCTACCTCACACATCACTCTGCATTCTCTCAATCCATTATTTTTCCTTTAAAATCTTCCCACCAGGAAGTTCGTTCTTTTCTTCTGTTTCTATTTTGTACTATTAGCAGTTCCTGAGTCACAGTACTTTGTGCTTTAAGTGGTGCACATTGCTGCCTGCAGGAATAAAATCAGTAATAAATTATTCATGTACATACATTTTTTTTTCCAACTTACAGTGCAGTCAGTTGAGTTTTAATACTTAAAGTTCTTTACATCCAACTACCCTAAATTTCTACTAACATTGCTGGTTTATTCCTTTTTTTTTTTACATCAGTTTAACATTTTCCATTTTTTATGATGAAAACCCCAATATTCTAAGCAATACTTCATTTATTAAAATGGAGAAAGTGGAAAGAAAACTGTAAGAATCACATAGTCGTTGTAGACCAGACCATGCTGACCTAATTTTCCTGTAAAACTAAGATATTTAAGATGAACTATAGAAAACCAGAGATGTGACAGGAAAGTCTGAAGGTAAAAATAAATGTTTCTCTTGGTTGATACTTCTATTGCTATTACTCAGATGGCTGCAATTAAGGAAAAAATTGAAGGCATTGGAAGAATCTCCTCTTTGACTGTCCAGCTGGATTCAACTAAGGAAACACTCCATAAAGTTAAAGAAGATCTTGCAGCCAAACAGATCGATTTGGAGACTGCTGAGAAAACAGTGTCAAATCTGACGGCCCGTCTGCGGGAGAAAGAGAGCGCCCTTGAGGTTACCAATAAGGAAGTCAAGAAGCTACATTCACAACTTGGCAGTAGGATGCAGGAGCTCCAGCATCTAAAGAATGAAGAGGACTGTTTGCACAATGTGCAGTCGGAGTGTGAGACACTGAAACTGCAGCTGTTAGAGAAGGAAAGGATTATTGAGATTCTCCAACAACAAATTGATAACATGACCCAGGTTGTGGGCCAGCACAGTCGAACTGCTGGAGCAATGGAAGTTGAGAAATCTCAGCTTATAAAAGAAATCAATGACTGGAAACTTAAAGTAGAAGAACTTCAGGTGTGCAAATGATGCTGTATTTATGTCTCTCTAGGACAGTAAATGTTTTCTGTTTTTAAATCTGTACCTCAATGGGCCAGTACCGTGGTTTTTAAAGCAGGTCAGACAACGCACCTTGAATCCTAACAGCACTAGAAGAGTTAGTGGGCAGAGAAGAATAATATTATCACATTACCACCAGAAATGAATAATTCACTGGTGCAAAGCCTTTGCCAAAAAGTTTGTGAAAGCTGGAATATAACATGCTGTCCTAAGTGATACAATTGTCCACACCAGTAACAGAACCAGAAATACAAGGTGTTACTGAGAAATAACAGGAGAGTGAGCATGCAGAATTCCAAACTGAGGACACTATTTATAACTGGTTATTTCTCAGACAGGAATTACAGGATACAGTAGTCTTATGCAGGTCAGCATCTTCAGAAAAAAAATTCACTCCAGATAGAGAATTTCATCTTCCTCTTGTGAGAAGACAGTTGAGCATTAGGAGTGAACATGGAGGTAGTGCTACAAGAGAATGGAAATAACTTTCATATACACCTGGTAAGGTTAAACGTGCTGTGAAGCCATCGCATCCATTTCTATTGTACCCTTTTTGCCTGGATTAGCAATTTGCACAGGAGTAATTTGTCTATTTTACTCTGGTTTTCTTTGTTGCCCCAAACTGTTCTCTGACAACTAAGATTTAAAGTAATGATGTCTGCACATCTTTGTGGTTGTTTTATATAATATGTATATTACACATAATTACTCTTGGTTTTTATGTAAGTAGATTGCAAAGGATGAGAAAGAAGCCAGAATACATGAAATGGAGGCCAGACTGAATGAGCTGGAACTGGAAAAGGTTAAACTGGTAAACACATGCAGTGAGAGGCTCCATGCACTTAATGATATGAAACTGGAAAAAGACCAGCTAATGAATGAACTCCAAGCCGGTCGGAGTGAGCTAGCTGGCCTTGCAGGTAGGGAGCCACGACTTAGCTCAGCTCCGAGAGCTGCTAAATGGGGCTGATGTTAAAAATAGAAGACCAGCTTGCTTGCTGAATCCAAATATGGCTGCTGGTACGGCCGAAGGTTCCCTGCCAGCACGGGGTGGTCAGATTGCTTCAGTCATGGATTGGGATTCTGGCACAGAGTGATGGGAATACAATCTTCATGGCATCTCTCACTACTCTGAGCAAAAATACTTAAATCGCTTGACTCTGGAGACCGAAGAAGCAGATCTAGTAAATTACAGAATAGAAACGTAACCGCTTTTTCCCGAGTGTTATTTAAGAGTGCTGGTGGATCCCATTAACCGTCTCCGGTCAAATCATAGTGTGACTTTGTTTCTGTTTTGTTGTAGTTTTGCTACAATGTTATTTAAAGGTTTATGTTCTAACTCCCAAGCACTGTTTTCACAGCTAATGGCTGGGGAAGCCAATCAAGATAATATTTACAAAGAAAAATAAATATTAGGGGCTGGACCCAAGGTAACCACCAAAATTCAGGGAGATGCTCTGTTAAATCTGCACTGCAGCAAGACAGATGATACTGTTCACATGCTTTGCTCTCTGCACACCCCTGTACTCTCGTAAAATACCCATTGGTAATGTTTATTTCTTCACAACTCAACTATATTTCTAAACTCATTAAGTCTTTTAAGAATTAGACGGATGCTGTGATTTTACATGGAAGGTCTGCCATAGGTTTCTCTAGTACTGTCAGGGTGACTGAGGTATAAGAAAGGCTTATCGGAGCGAATGACCACAGAGGAATTAGGGCCAAGCTGTGGATAGAGTCTGAGCTCACAGCTGGCTGGCTTGCAGCGGTATGGGTGACAGGACTTGAAGAGAGACTTAAGAAACAGAGCTGAGAAGCAGAGTTGCGGGGAAATGCTCGACAAATTAGATCATTTCAGACCTTGGTCTGGTGTGGCTGGAGAGAAAAATGACCAGGGCAAAACGCTGTCTCACTAATACCCCTAACTTTCACACTATGCCGTTGGTTCTAGCAGCAGGAACTCAGAAATGTGGATTTGTATCACTTCCTTGAGCTGTTGCTCTGGCGAGCAACCCAAGAAGACATTTGTTTCTGGTGAAACAGAAGCTTTTGCTGCCATGCAGGAGAATGAACTACTAGTTGTGCATTTGTTTGCAGTGGATGTTACTTGTTCTATGTCTTGGCTATCTGCATAGCTAATACACCTTTAAAGAGAGTAGGCGACAGGTCGGTAATCTTAGTCTAGAAGAATGATAATTTTTGTCACTATAATTTCAATCTTGACTTACTCTCACCAGGGGGATTTGAAGATTTGAAGAGGGATTACCAGGATAAAATCGAGGAGATGGAAAATACTGCAAACAGACTGAAAATGCAGTTGAAATCTGCCCAAGCTGAACTTGAACAGACCAGGACTGCTTTAAAGACTATGGGGGGATCAGATGGCCATGGTAATTATAGATTGAACTTCCCAAAAATCACACACATTTGTCTTTTTAACGAGGATTTTTGTAAGTATTGATCCCCCGATACATGCTGTAATAATATTCCAGATATTTTGTGAAATAAATAATATTGCAGACAACAACATATTTTACCACTTACAACATACTATAAAACATAAACCATGAGTTGAGTTTTTTCAGGTGATCTTTGTGCAGATTTCCAGGGAATGCTGTCTTCTTGTCTTGTGTGTGTGATGGGTCTGGTTCCACTACCTTGGACAATGCTCCAGCTGATTCTGATGGGTGGCTTACAGACATAAGTGACTATAGGATCCTGCTTCAACTTACTTATTCTAACATAGTGCTGAGAACTGACTTCCAGAGTCTTTTGTTGGAACTCAGAATGCATGATCAATGTTGTTCATTGGGAATTAACCTTATCTTTTACAGCTATGAAAGTTGCAGTGGGAATGCAGAAGCAGATCACAGCCAAGAGAGGACAGATAGATGCGTTACAGAGCAAGATTAAATTCTTGGAAGAGGCAATGACAAACGCAGCTAAGGTCACAAGAGATCCGTGTAAAAATATTTAACTGTATCTAGAGAAATCTTGCTTTGGAGAAATGCATGGCCAAAAGCACAATTGGCCCAAGAAGGACCAAAGAGAATTCTCCTTGATGTAATGGCCACCTTTGCTGTCCTCCTGCTAGCATACATCAGGGAATATCTCCACCATACAAGTTAGCCTTCCGCACAGAGACAGCTTTTCATTTATATTTGTTCTCTGTGAAAGAACAGGACTGGTTTCAATGAAAATCAAGCTCTTGCATATCAGTTCCTTTTAAAAATGTCAGCTAATGTGTTCTGTATCCTGAATTTGGCCCACAGTGCTTTCCCTTCTTTGTTTTCTGAGGTGGTTCTTTGCAGTTCTGGTTGTAAACTCTATGTCAAGGTCTGTCTTGCATGTTGAAATCTTTCTTGCATTTTCTGTGACACAGAAATCGTTTGGTTTCCAGTAGCTGGACTTTACTGAATGATCATGTATATTTGTTCACTATAACCTGTCCTCCTCCTTTACTGGCTTTGGATCCTGTGGATTCTGAAGCTTAAAATTCCAGTTTCAAAATGGATCTAAAATCTGAGATGTTACTTCATCAGGACCAGTCCAGTTGTACTTTTCTTTATAAGGCCTATCTTCTTGTTGAATAACCTCATCTTTCTGCAAGATGCAATAGGCTGGTTAATTCAGATCTTCCAAAGAGAAAAAAAAATTGCAGAAAACAAGCATGTATATTGTAAGTAGTTACAAATTCTTGACTTGTATTTTGTTGTCCTTATTTTAAATTCAGGACAAGCATTACCTTAGAGAAGAAAATAATAAACTAAGTCAAGAATTGAGCTATATTACAGCAGAAAATACCAAGATTACTGGGGAACTGGAGATCCTGAGATTGCAAGACAAACGTCTGAAAGAAAAAATACCTAAGATGGAGACAGCCCTTGACAAGGTAATTCTAGGTGGCGTTGAGTTCAGTGAGACTTCTGCGTGCTTTCCTCTACAGCCACTTGGGAAGAGAAAACGTCTGACCTCTTACCTAGGCTGTATTTAGTGTGTCCTATTCACGTGTACTGTACGATATTTACCTGAAGAGATGTCTATAGTTAAGATTGTCTTCTGGGTTTTTAATGGTAAAAGGCTTCTACTTTCATTAAGAGAATTCTTGATTTACTCTTTACTAGCTCAGGGAAATAGAAAGTGCAGAGAATTTAAAGCAGATTGACCTTCCACTGGCTCGTGGAACAGCTCATTTCCCTCGTTATTCAGTATAGCAGGGGCTCCGCTGGAACAGAGAGTGGGCACACACTGCCTCAACACACGTGTCCATGTTCAGCCCTTTCTGGGACCCCAGTTAGCCAGCTGTGGGTCCCTCAGGGTGAGGGAAGTTTTTAAGAAACATGGTGGTGTTCCATTTGCCTTTTTTAGTTGAGGTTTTTGTTGCTGACATACCTGACTCTTAAGGCTAGGTTCTGCATTTCGGTCTGACTAGGACATAAATCCCAGGTGTCCTACAGGTAAGCTGCTGCTCTTCCAGAAGGAAGAGTCCTTCTCAGCTGCTCAGAATTCTAGCTTTTCAGGATGTAAATTTCTATGTAAGGTGTCATTCTCAAATTGCTTTATTACTTTAAGAAATAACAAAAGTAATTTTGATACTTCCTGCCAAATGTGGCATTTCTTAAAATTCTTGACGCTGGAAACTTAACTTTCTTTGTAATATATATCATTGTGCGCAGTACTAGCCACCTGACACAGAAGCTGAGACACAGTGAAGGCGGGTGCTCACTGGAAACAAGCACGTGTGGTGTACTAAATAACAATTCTTTGAAATTAGTAAAGGTTGTACTGTGTCGTCTCAGAGGATGCTAGTATATAGCATTGCAGAGCATCCATTGTATGAACATCATAAAGTGCAATTGGCCATCTTGCTCAGCATTAATGATTCAGAGTTAAATGTTCAATAACCGTACATCCACCGTGCCTCAGGGAGCCTGCCTGTGCCTCAGCGGCAGTCATAAAGAAGCACACAAAGGGAGCCAGGTTTTATTTTAAAACCAAAGAGGGAATTCTGCTAGAGTGATAAAAGCAGTCTGGTTCATAAAGATCTATCTCTTTCTTTTTGTGCTTTGGCTTAGAGATTCCTCTCTTCTTCTCACTGTCCTGATAAGTACTCAATGAAAAACAGCTACATTATTAGATCTTCTCACACCTTTTCAGAGTAAACTTTTTAAAGAAGAAAGAGTCAATAACAACTTAAAGACAGGTCAACAAAGTTATGAGCCATCCATTTTAAAACCTTGAATATAGTTTTGCCTCATTAGCACAGTTGAGTTGTCTAATCCCAGAGGTGTTCAATAGGTCTAGGACTGTCCCTGACAGGATTAGCTCCCTTCTGTGATATTATGGCTACTAGGATCATATAACCAGTCAGATGCTTTTGTAAGCCTATCAAGAAAGGCATCTGGTCATCTTGCAGTATTTCTGTACTGATAGCAGTAGATAAATGTAGCATCTGTACATGTACCTTTTTGTTTCTTTACCAGAAAGAAAAAATGAAAGGGTGTAATCCACAGAAAGTTATCGAAATTAATTTAAGCCTCTTCTATCCTCTCTTACAGGCATCCATGCAGTTTGCAGAATGTCAGTGCATAATCCAGTGTCAGGAACAAGAAGCCATGCGCTTCCGACTGCAGCATACTTTAGATGTAAAAGTAAGTACATTACTGAGAAGCATGGGTATAAAGTTAGATACGTTCACTTTGTGTCCTAACTTCAGGTTTAACCCTATTTATTGCAAATGCTTTAAAAAGTTTGTGTTCTGAAACCCTTTTTTACGTGGACTACCTCATTGCTGCACAAGTCACGTCCATAATTTCAGTTACTTTGAAGTGCTATTTACAGTAAGGGCAACAAAAAAATTAAACAGCTATGGGAATATTGGACCATATGCTTCAGCTGCTGAGCTTTGGTTTCAGTGACACTTCAGCATTTTCTTGTGGCCCTAGGCAAATAAAAGCTAGAAATGTTCATGCATCATTATGAAAAATGAATTAGAGAGACAAGGTCTGTAGAGGTGCTTTCTACTAGTGTAACTGTTAGAGACAGAAAGCACTAACAAAGTTTTGGGCACCCACATCCTTCTTCAGGCCTGAAATAAAACCAGCAACCTTGAAGCTACATACAGGCCGGAAACAAGGGCTCTGAGATTAATTTGATTATGCTAATTAGCTAGGCAGCACAAAAAAAAAAAAACATTTTTAAGAAGCAAGAAGAGGTATTAGCAAGGGGAAATGAAATAGGGTCATGAAGTATCTGGGACAGAAAAAAGAAGACATGTAATAGGCATCTCTGGAGCATTAGTGAAATATAGGGTAGACGGAAAATCATGCAGTAATGTAAAGCCAGTATCTCTGTTACAGACACCAGAGTTTTTATTGCCCAATACATTTAGTTCAATCTCTATCTAACTAATGAGTTTAATAGAGAATATTACCTTTGCCTTATTTTTTACCATAGACTATTAAGGCTGCAATGAAACTACTGCTATAAATGAATGGTACACTTGGAAGAGTAGTATTGTCATAAGAAATTATCGTTAATTTTAGTGACCCACTCCAGTTGCTAGTTTTGAGTGAGGAAACAAAACGTTACATTCAAAATACAAATCTATGTAAGCAATACAAAAAGTACCTCATATGAACAATGGTGGGGAATCTCGCATTCCAGCGAAAGAAATTCTCACCCAAGTGGGGAAAAAAGGGTATGAGAACTGCGAGACAGTTTAATTTTGTGGCGGCCCTGAGACATCCTCCACTTGAATGGTTCCAGAGCATATGTTAAAATTATGAAAATAAATGAAACTGCCACTCTTGCACCCCGGTTGGTCACTAAAAGGGTTATGTCTGAGCACACCTAATAAATACTAGGAATCGTTTTGAGAATTGAGTGCTGCATATCATAAAAGATTTGACTGAAAGAGATGCCCTGTTACAGAGGGCCTATACCTGTTTATTCTACTTAGCTATACTTGCTTATTGTGCTTGGCTAACATTTTTCCGCAGGAACTGCAGGGCCCAGGCTACTCATCAGCTTCTGCTCCAGGCAAGCTGCGGCACATAGCGCCTCTTTCCCACCTGCACTCTGCTGTCGTGCCACCTTCCCTGAGCTTGGCCAGCTGTGCCCCTCACGTGAGTACTTGCCTCAAAATGGGAGACTGCACGGGAAACGGGGACGTTCCAAAGAGTAAAAATAACATGGAATTTCTAAATAGTGTCCAAGAGTGAATTCTTAACACCAAAGATACTCTATAGGTTCTCGTATGCTAGGGCCTTTCAGATTATTTTTTTTTTGCAAAACATATGTAAAAACCAACCAGACATTAAAAAATTCTATAGATTATAAGAGGAGTTTATCTAACCTCTATTACCAAAAACATTTATAAACTATTAAAATGGAAGGTACTATTCTGTAAGCAGTTTGGTTTTCACTTTTTTTTTTTGCTATTACTTGACCTGCTGTAAATCACTTACATTTGGCAGTGAAATAGACTTGTACATACTTCCCGATAAATTTCATCATTGAGTCACCTGTACTAGTTTTTTATACATAAAGCATTCTCCAAGCTGGCCTTCACTGATTTTGACCAATTTTAGCCTAAAAGACACATCATTGTCCTTCCTTCCTTTTGTTTTTGTACATCTACGTTTAGATTTAAATTAGATGCTAGTGTTGTTCTAATTTTTCGTTACAGAAAACATCAACTCAAATATCTCATGCAAAAAAAAAAAATCTTTTGGTATTTTCTGTATAGATTTTGTATATTTCTCCAAAAGGGACCTGACACATCTCCCACAGAAATTGGTAGAGGTCTTTTTGATAATTTTTACCTCAGAATCTGTAGGACACTACGAGTTAGAGCAGATATTTTTCAGTAATATTTTCTGCTTTACTTTCTGATGTGGTGGCAAACATTTACATCAAGGAACAAAGGATAGTTAATTCTGTGAAATCCCTGCAGCCATCAGGCACTCCCATTCTCTTTTCTTTGAGTTCATCAATTTCTACTTCTGAGGATAAAGAAGGAAAAAGGACCGATTTTTAATGTAGTACCATGGTGAGGACGAAACAGGTTGTAGGAGAACTTGATTCAAGGTATACTTGAACCTTCTTGGTTCCTGCATGATTAGTTATTGTACAAAATGAAGCAGCTCCAACGTTTTGAGACAGAGACCCTACCTGGCTGATAGCCTGGTTTCTTAGCCGGAATGTGGGAAAGAAGGATTTGGTCTGACTCAGTATCACATTGACCCATTATGAAGCTGAGGATTTGTTCTCCATATAAGCTCTGCTGAAACCAGTGCATTCCCTTTGGAAATGGCATTTCTCGCCATGAAAACATGTTAGCAAAATGTTTCTGGCCAGTTTCATCCACGGGTGAAGTGTAAGTCAGTGAGAGCAGTGCTTTGAACGTGTGAAGTGCTGAGTAGTCTGAAAAATCCAGTTCTTCACAAAAAGAAAGGATTCTTTGAACCAGGCCTGTGCCTCAAGTCCTGATCAGTAAAATGAGAATAATATTGCACTTCATCTCAGAGTATGGCTGTGACAGTAAAGTGGTTTATATTTGCGGACAGCTCAGCTGTTACAGAAATGAGTGCCTAGAAAACACCCTGATACACTAAGATTTCTGTCTTCAGAGCTGTGTTTGTGTACAGTACAGTAATGCCTGGGATCACAGGTTAAAAAGGAGAGAACACGATTGTCGTAAGCAAAGATTATTGGTTCTGAGTACTGAAAAAGTTAATGGTTGTATTGGGGGGGGGGGGGGGTTTTT